TGAAGTAACAAACTATCCCAGATAAACAAAACGTGTGTACATAATATAAAATACCATTGAGAAAACTTATTATACTTAAATATTCATCAATTGAATGATCCTCAATACCTTTTTGGGAGAAAATGTACGTAACATCATGCGTATTTTTTCACAATATTTATCAGCCGCAAGATTAACTGGCTGGTGACGTGTGGATAAAGTGTTACAATAAGTGGCCAATAAACATGTAGGAGGTCACGATCATGTGAATCAACTACTTGTGCACACGGCTTAGACTATGCATTGAATTCTGCGTAACACTTCTGCTACGATTTTAGATATCAAAGATCACGGATCTATAAATAAATCATTGCACACGGTGCATTTTAAATACACATGAGCACTGTACTAAATCTGTTGCGCAAAAACGTGATATTTATCAATATATCTTTTTTTGATTACATTTTGTCTTAAAGTACATGTATATTCTTTTTTATTGCATAGACATAACTCACATATTAGATTACACATAAGGAACATGATAGACGATTTTGAGTTTGATATATTTCTCTAAATAAACATTATACAAAAGCAGTGATACATATTAATTTCATTCACACTAATACAAATGCTGGATCACCACATGCATCAATCCATCAACAAAAACCATGTCCCTTCCTCCATCCACATCCATTCATTCATCAATCCATTCTTCATCCATCCAACCATCCACCATCCTATTCGTCCATCAATCAATTTCATCATCCGTTCAACCCTCCTGCATCGATCCATCCAACCACAACCCCCGCCCAACTCCGTTCATATATCTATCTGTCCTATCCTATCCAATCCCATCCATCCGTCCGTCCGTCCGTCCGTCCGTCCGTCCGTCCGTCCGTCCATCAATCCATCCGTCCATCCATCTAATCCAATTATATCCTACCCTATCCTATTCATCCATCCATCCCTCCATCCGTCCGTCCATCCGTCGTCAATCCATCCATTCATCATCCATCCATCCATCCATCCATCCATCCATCCGTCCATCCATCCATCTNTATGATTTTATCATCTAGCTTATAAATAGACACAGAAGCTCTTTTTAAAAGGCCTAGCTTTACATTACATTCCAATCGGCGACTCACTTCCGGTTTACAAGCAGCGTCACACTCGCTAAATATAAACAACAATTTAACAAGTTCTCAATGGCGGTTCGATATAAAAGGTATGTTAAAACGATGATAGAATAGCCTGTGTCCCGATGTCACTTGGTTTCTTCCAGTAATGTCCTAAATATATATATGGCAGCAGTCTCTTGAATTAACGTAGTTAATCGAGAAGTAGTAGTTTTAAATAACTAGTGACACTTGTATGTTCACTACAGTAGTATATGTTTGTCCTAAGTATTACATACCACATGTACGGCACGAATAAGGATTGAACGGCATTTATTTTCAATTCCATGCTGGTATGAACGCAAATCTGTTCATAAACATAAATATGTTTGTAACCGGTTTGCGTTCACACTAACATGAACATTGAAAAGAAAGTCGTTCAATCCTTATATTTATATTTTAAATTGTTCGTTATTATTGATCTAAACAAAGATATTCTTTATGTTATCGATATTGAAATGTCTGTTTCGTCATTGCAAACGAGAATCCTTGAACAGCGTAACGTCACCAAAATGTTTGCTTCTAACGGTTGTCTCATGTTAGTCGAGGCGGGAGGTCAATTTCAAAATGGCATTGATCCACTTGCGTTCATTGCCCTATGGCAGTTAATTGTGCCTCTCACTTTGTTTTTCTCGTGACGTTGCTTGTCATACATTGTACAACTTTAAATGCCCAGTAATGTTGCTTCCTTTCTGTAACGTTATTGTGACGTTAAGTGATCAGTGTGCCCATATTAATACTTCAGGGGGTAAAATTGATATCTTTGTTTCGACGAAACCGCATCAGGCAAAAACAGTGTACTAAATATACCTTAAACCTACCATCCATGGTGGGACCCACCACCTCCCCTTAACTACGTCCATTGTCTTTAGTAGGACGCCCTGTATACCTATCGGTATCCGAGCTGCGGAAGAACAGTCTCCATTCCACTACTACCACACCACGTCGTTGGCTCTATTTTTAATCAGTGTTTTAAGATTTGACACATTGTTCAAAGGAAGATTATTTTATTTGTTTAGTTCTCTTCCTTTAAGATTGTTAGTATGGTTTTTTTAAATATCTTTATCAGAGTCTTATACTAGAAATATCTTGAGTCTATGAAATATCTATTAGAGTCTAATACTAAAAATATCTTGGGTATGTGAAATACATGTACATGTATCTTTATTAATATTAAGCAAATCGTGTACGTTTCACGGACTGGTCCCCTGTTATCATTACCTGGGGTGCTCTCCCAGATAGTCTGAGGAGACACCAATTAGTGTATCAATTTAAATCAATCTGAATTGCAATAACAAAAAAACCACTCGAACACTTTTCGAGAAAACTCGTGCTTATTTTAAATCCATCATGAGTAAATTATCTCTTAATGAAACTTATATGGAACCAAATGTCACTCAACCAACCTCATACTTTTGTGATAGTATAGAAATCATATCACGTTATCTACTATGTTATATTGGAAATCTTTCGTACTAAACAACTGTCCATCTAAAACTGTTAATGGCGATTATTCCATATCGTTATCAATACAAATTGTAATTGTAAAAGATATGCATTAATGCTATTGCTGTCAATACTGTAAAAGATAATATTTATTACAATAGCTAAAAAAAATCTTCTTACTCTTAATTTATAACAATTTTGATGTATGTTAAACAAAAAGGTGTAATTTTAAAAGATCATATCACACCTATTTAAAACTGTGTTTGAAGTAACAAACTATCCCAGATAAACAAAACGTGTGTACATAATATAAAATACCATTGAGAAAACTTATTATACTTAAATATTCATCAATTGAATGATCCTCAATACCTTTTTGGGAGAAAATGTACGTAACATCATGCGTATTTTTTCACAATATTTATCAGCCGCAAGATTAACTGGCTGGTGACGTGTGGATAAAGTGTTACAATAAGTGGCCAATAAACATGTAGGAGGTCACGATCATGTGAATCAACTACTTGTGCACACGGCTTAGACTATGCATTGAATTCTGCGTAACACTTCTGCTACGATTTTAGATATCAAAGATCACGGATCTATAAATAAATCATTGCACACGGTGCATTTTAAATACACATGAGCACTGTACTAAATCTGTTGCGCAAAAACGTGATATTTATCAATATATCTTTTTTTGATTACATTTTGTCTTAAAGTACATGTATATTCTTTTTTATTGCATAGACATAACTCACATATTAGATTACACATAAGGAACATGATAGACGATTTTGAGTTTGATATATTTCTCTAAATAAACATTATACAAAAGCAGTGATACATATTAATTTCATTCACACTAATACAAATGCTGGATCACCACATGCATCAATCCATCAACAAAAACCATGTCCCTTCCTCCATCCACATATATTCATTCATCAATCCATTCTTCATCCATCCAACCATCCACCATCCTATTCGTCCATCAATCAATTTCATCATCCGTTCAACCCTCCTGCATCGATCCATCCAACCACAACCCCCGCCCAACTCCGTTCATATATCTATCTGTCCTATCCTATCCAATCCCATCCATCCGTCCGTCCGTCCGTCCGTCCGTCCGTCCGTCCGTCCATCAATCCATCCGTCCATCCATCTAATCCAATTATATCCTACCCTATCCTATTCATCCATCCATCCCTCCATCCGTCCGTCCATCCGTCGTCAATCCATCCATTCATCATCCATCCATCCATCCATCCATCCATCCATCCGTCCATCCATCCATCTATCCATCCATCCATCCATCCATCCATCATCCATCCATCCATCCATCCATCATCCATCCATCCATCCATCTAATCCAATTATATCCTACCCTATCCTATTCATCCATCCATCCCTCCATCCGTCCGTCCATCCGTCGTCAATCCATCCATCCATCATCCATCCATCCACCCATCCATCATCCATCCATCCATCCATCCAACCATCCATCCGTCCATCCATCCATCCATCCATCCGTCCGTCCGTCCGTCCGTCCGTCCGTCCATCCATCCATCATCCGTCCGTCCGTCCGTCCGTCCGTCCATCCATCCATCCATCCATCCATCCATCCATCCATCCATCATCCATCCATCCATCCATCCATCCATCCATCCAATCCAATCCTATCCTATCCTATCCTATTCATCCATCCATCCCTCCATCCGTCCGTCCATCCGTCGTCAATCCGTCTATCCATCATCCATCCATCCACTCATCCATCCATCCATCCATCCTATCCTATCCTATCCCATCCATCCATCCATCCATCCATCACTAGTCCCTTCCCCCCGCCCAACCACCGATCCATCTATTTATCCATCCATGTATTTTGATATAATCAATAACTGCATCTATTCATATATCCAGCCTTTTATCTATCCATAGAAATCTAATGATACTGATAGAATGCTGAAATATTAAAGATTTCAACTACAATTATCGTATAACGAAAAGCAATAATTATCGAATATGTCATGGTTGTAGAAACGTTTACGCCTCCACTTTATGTTTTTATATTACTGATGAGTTAATAAGTTTAAGGGAACTTTGCGCTACTGGTCAATTGGACAAAATAGGGTATACCTGGAAAATAGCACTTATCAAGTAACGCCAACAACCTTGGAAATATGTCCGCAATACTATATACTTCATTGGAAATGAAAATATGTTACATTGGCATAAACCAATCACGTGTCGCGTACAAAGTGTCTTCTCGTGATGTTTTAAATTTGCACTCGGTCCTAGTTACGGCAACCTTCACATTATGTTGCACATGGCCCTTACCATTCACGTTTATTATAATTAATGCACACGACGGTGTTTTGCACACGCATCGTCGAATAGCCTATAAATATAGTCACATATTTAAGTGGTTCTACAGTAAAGACAGATTAATCTAGTCGTTGCGAGAAGATTTAAAACTATTCTTCAGAACCCGCCGAGATGTCCAAGGCTGAAGGTATGTTGCTCCATGTTATCCCCTATAAAAACGATTTTATTTGAATATTTATCAATTGACACATTGACAAGACCTCGCATCCACCTTGTATTTCTTCTATAAAATTACATTGTTGCATTTTTTTAATTACTCTAAATCGATCAAAACATGTAAAATGTCAAAAAACCGGCAATTTATCTACACAATAGTATTAACAGTTTAAGTTGTCGTCATTCCGGGGTGGTTTTTTTTGGTTTTTTGGTGTTTTTTTTTAATTCTGTTTAGCTGATTATCATTCCCGGATGTTTGCAGTTATCATGTATTAATGCAAAAAATATTTTCAGTTGTAGCCAAAAGCTGTAAAGCTCGCTACGCTATAGAGGGTTAGATAGTCACCTTTTCCCCATTTTGCTGTATTTCTACAAATGTTTTGAAAATACTTAAACAATAGTTTTTCATTCTTTTGATATTTTTTCCCATTGACAGGCCATAATGGCCGGAATTGCCATACTGTAATGTAATCATTTACCTCGATTAGCTTTTTAATCGATTCACTAAGCAAATTAATTATAAGTACCGAAGTAAGAACTCGTTTGCTCACCACGTGTTGAATTCAGTCCTAATCTACCTTTTCCATAAGCAAAATTAAGTTTAAAAAATAGGCCCAGAAAGGCTGACAAAATCGGATGTAGTCAGCGTTAGTTCAGAAGTCATCTAAAAAATAACCTTTCTTTTTGTGTACGAATAGGGATGAATTATGTTGATCTGTTCTTATTTACGCCCCGCGCAGCCTCGTTCTGTGTCAAGTGCCCAGTGGGAAAGTGTGGCTGTACAGGTTCGGCTTGCTGTAGCACCAACTGTAGATGTCCCGGATGTAAGGTCAACTGCGCATGCTTCTGTAAGTTGTAGTAAGACTTAAATCGTATGATGATATGTAAAATCAAACGTTTTACATCTATTAATACATTTGTAAATCACATATGTTATGTTACATGTAGCAGAGTAACACATCACAATATCAAATTTTAATTCCACGATTCGGTCATACTTTTGCAACGATTATACAATTGAGCAGAATGAAATACATATATTGCTTATGAATGATGGTTACAAACCTACCTGTAATAACACGATAATAAAAAGAGTAATTGTTGTTGCTTTTTTTAATGTTCGGTAAGTTCAATTCAGAGTATGACAGTATGATCCTCACAATATCGAACTCTAATTCACTTATGATTCACGCGTATTTGTTTGAAAAGGGATGATAATTCTTTACTTGTCTTTTGTAATGACATGATGATGTCAAGGCTTCTATTATTAGTTATTTGAATGAGCTTGTAAACACTACTTCACATACATCGTGTTAGAGAAATCACTCCACTGAGTGTATATAGTACCTTTATATTTTAATGGTGTATGTTATATTACTTATTAAGCGGCGAAGAGTGCGACCTGTCCTGATGGAATTTGCCAGATGGGGGTTCCGTGTAGATGTGGCTGTAAGTGCAGCGCCGCATGCAAGTGCCCTAACTGTAAGGCCGGATGTAAATGTGGAGGTAAGGTGTATTAACTGTTGTTATAGTGAAAGCTTCCGAACAGTTGTTAAAGAAAGTACACCAAATCGTTGCTCACGGTTCCTACAGGAAAATAAGTGTCACTTTATCACAAGTTGATCGTTTTCGTTTGCCTTTGTGAGAGGGGTATGTTTGATAGCAAAGATACTTTATAGTATATGCGGGTGATTTAAATCATTAATTTCAATTTAAGATAATCAATGTGTCTAGCTTTTCGTAGTTAATACGTTATGACTAATGTGAGATGCTTTTGGCCTCGGCTGATTAGTTAAGCTTCATTAAGAGTGGAGAAAACTATGGCTCTGGGGAGGAGATCTATGCTAGTGCCATATTGTCACCGTTTGCCTGGCTTATTAGACTACTTGAACTCTAGTGATTTCCCACTAGACTGGCTGACTCATTATGGCATTCTCCGGTGTGAGCTTTAGGTAGTCGTAATTGTGTCTCTAAGATCTGTTCAGATCCTTTGGATATATACTATGTATGAGATATTTAACTCGGTGCCATATGACGATTGTTGAAATATTTTCATGTAATAATACATTAATTTGTTTATTTCAAAACACGGTCAGAATCATCAATATACGTTCAAGTAAATGTTTCATTTGATCACTCTTTTGGTTGACACTGCCATTAATTTCATTCCTGAATACAAGTAATAAATATAATATTTACGCACACAAGTAAGAAAGCATTCTGTATCAGGAGCGATAACCTATCGAACTCTACCTGGTGCTTATTTTCGTCCTTATCCCTTCTCTATCAGGCGCCAACTTCGTCTGTTCCGTGGAGTGCCTGTCAGGCCAATGTTGTGGAACCAGGGCCTGCCAATGCAGCGGAAAGTGTGCATGTCCAGCATGCAGATGTAACTGCGCAGCTGGTAAGTACCTAAACATATATGTAATTCAGCAGAAACAGGTTATACACATTCAGTTAACATAAGTATAACAAAATAACAAGAGTGAACTATTTACCTAAACTATTCCACCACCATATTGGAGATAATATAACCCGACACGCTGTGATGTAAAACTGTATCTGACATTTCAGGGACCTGCACGTGTGGTGTTGGCTGTACTGGACCAAGAACATGCAGGTGTGCTTCAGGTTGCACTTGTAAGCAGTAAACGATGTCGTCTTCGGAAAAATCCGAGGTCATCTTGAATGGATTGTCCAACCGTTTCTCCGCTGTATGTGGATATCTTGATAGACGTTTAAATCTTAATTTCTGATTTGAAGCATTCTTTTTTGGTGGTTTAAATTGACATTTTTTCCTAGCATCTGATGATTTAATATAAAGTGATCGTCAAAATTAGTCTTATTATCCAATTAATTCGGAGCTTTTTCAAAAACCTGATTGAAATAAAACATGATAAAGACATATACTGGTGTTTTTTATTCTGTATACGCATTATGCTTCTTGTAAAACAGTTGTCTTATTTATATACTTTATCCTATAGATGTTGACAAATTCTAACTCTTGCTTAAAAGGATAAATAAATAGATAAAACACCTACTCACACGGAGTCCGGTACTGGGGTTTCTTTGAGATTTTATAATTATCGTTATGATTGATTTGATGAGGTCTGGTACATTTTAAACATTTATTTTTAAGCATAACTTGTAATTATATTGAGATAATCGAATACCAAATTTTAATCTGCTATCACAGACACATAGGTTTGTGCGCCTACTGCAGACCAAACAAATATGAGCTGTTGTTAATTTATTTGGAAAAAATAGGAAAATATGATATTTGTAAACTTAACAAAATACTACACATGGTATTGAAAACTTAAATTCCAAGTTCAAAGTTCTATTACTGTTAACTTCGACTGATGTTTATTATAAAAAAAATATAATTGCACCTTAGATAGTATAACATTATAGGGTGTCGCTATATGTTTGTCTGTATGTGGTATCGCACGACAACCAAGACTGTTTGCGGCACATGTAAAAGGGGATTTCTGGTGGTCGTGTGGCGCAGTGGATAGCTATATAGCCCACTCATCTTTCATCAAGACAATCGGTGTTCCATTCCCCGATCGGGCCTTAAAAAACATAGGGTCACCTACTCGACAATGAGATTGTTCCGGGCACTCCAGTTTCCTCTTGCATACAGACCATCTGCAGACTTCCATCCGGGCCATCAAGATTACCTAATATAAGTTGGAAACCTCCATAATTATTGTAAAATACATAAGATTTATTACATGATCTCTGATAAAAATTACAGTGTTATTACAGAAAGAATTAACATGTTAACCAAGATTGGCCAGTGAAACAACGTCTAGGGTGTTACCCACAAGTGGGTAACAAAAGAATGTATACCAACTCCTAGCGGGTTTATTCACAGGAGCCTGAAGTTCTGTCAAAAATTAGTAATAATAGTTATACCAAAAATAATACCTGTAATATACTTTAAAAAAATATCTATAATATGCTTAAAAATATTTTTTAAGCATATCTTAGGTATTTTATTTTGTTTGTATTACTATTATTATTAATTTTTGACAGAACTTCAGGCTCCTGTGGTTTATTCAATGAATCGGAAGTGAGGAAACCTAGAGTGGTTGTGGGAAAGTTTTCATTTTACATAAAGGTGTGGAAAGATTATATGGCAATTTTAGAGTGTTTGAGGTATAGTATCTGTATATTTCAGCTGCATAACAGGAATACTAATATAAGTTATTTTCATAAATAAATTTGTTGAGAAGAGTTTTTTACAGAATCCACACTCAGATGACAGAATTTCATTACAAATGTCCATATACATACATTTAGGCTTATTTTAATGTCACACGCGTGTATGTGTGGGTTTCTTCTGGTGCGAATATATATTAACAAATAGGCATAAGCACACACAGATGACAGTTTATTTATGAACATTCACACTCGTAAACGGAGACGGTTCCCTGAAATAAAAATAAAATGTCTAAGTGTATATATACGGACACGTGTAAACGTATAACCATATCCACATATATTAATACCATAAAGAATATAATATTTAGACATTACATTTTTTTTGTACTTATAATAATATATTATTAATTTACATTTTATTTCAGAAACTTACATAACATAGTTACACCCTGATTGTAACCATAAGACATGATGTTATAGAACCTGACCAAGTGTGCATTAATTTAACTTATGGCCTCAGATATTTTACGGCAATATATTTCAAATGCAACAAATTATAAAACCAAAGTACTTTATTTAATAATTTGTTAAACTGAATTAATAGTTTGTTTTATATAGTTTTAAATTAAATAGAAGACTCAACTTGCACTGTGGCGGTAACGCACACGGGCAATTCAAATAGCATTTATTCCAAGGTTGGTGTAGAGTGAATTAACGCACCTGGGCAGAGCCCAGGTAAGGCTNTCAAATTACATCGTATTTAAAATTCATAATTTTAAATACTGAACTTATTGGACAAACTGTTAATACGTTTGGCCACCGTGACATTCTCCCCTGCAGAGGGAAATGACTCCTGGCATTTATTAAACTATAAACAGTAAAGTATAACCATTAAAGCTTTACAGTATCCCAAGGTAGCAAAACCATGTATAATATACACTTACAAGAATCCCCCCCACTGCATTCCAGATATGAATATCAATCTTTTAAAAATAATTGAATGTAAGTTGCAATTAAGCTACATCGCTACATAATTTGATGGTAAACCATAAGGTTAATACACACCAGTAGCTGTAGAGATTGACCAATAGCTTCGAAATCAGGAGTAAGCTTTGTTCCCTATGACATCCTCCCACTGCTCCGACTTGCTATACAAAGACCTCGGCTGTAGAATCGGACGACACCAAGGTCCCCATGAGCCATTCTCCATATACATTAGGAGGTTTACAGGCTCGTTTGGGCCTTACAGCTGGTGTGGAGTCCTGTGTATGACTTCCGCAGTGTTGGATTTTCCACAAACACCCGTATTCACCCTCCTCAGAGGATCCTCTGCACCAAAAGTATTTGGCTGCACTGACTGTCGCGACTCAGCAGCAGTGCGTCTGTGCCTCCTAGTAGGAATAATATATATGGGTGTTTGACTCCCGTCCTCATCTGATCTGTCAGTAGTTGAGGAGACACTCTCAGCTGAGTCTATCTTGGCATTCTGATGATTTCGTGTTGTCTCCCTCGGTTCATGAGCACCCTCTAATCTTGGTAGCCACATGAAAGGGAGAAGGAGGTTCCTATGTACCGTCTTTATAGGTCTCTTCCCCGACTCCTTCCTGATCTTGTATACAGGCATGTCAATATTTGGCACAATAAGGACAATGTAGGGTTCCTTAACCAATTTGTCAGCCAACTTTTGTTTGCCACATATACCAACGTTCCTCCTCAGAACCCGGTCATCAACCTCCAAGGTGGCTTCTCTAACTTCCCTATCATACCTATCTTTGTACCGCTTACCCTTCCTTCCGCTTTCAGCCGAGGCAGCTTTGTATGCAAAGTCTAACCGACGCTTAAGCTTCTAGGCGTAATTCTGTCGGCTCCCTACAGCCTCAGAACTGGTATCGATGCCTAAAAATGCATCTACACCAGGTCTTGGGTGCCAACCAAACATCAGGTAATGAGGAGAATACCCGGCTGTCTCATTGCTTTGTTGCATTATAAGCATGTACAAGTGGAGCCACATAGGACTTCCAATTGGATTTCTGTTCCTCCTCTATTGTACCTAACGATTTTAACAGGGTTCGGTTGAACCGTTCGACCATGCCATTGCCCATCGGATGGTAAATGGTAGTTCTCGTTTTCTCCACTCCAGCTATTTTGCAAAGTTCTTTAATAACTTTGCTTTCAAAATTCCTGCCATGGTCACTGTGAATTCGGGCAGGAAAGCTGTAGTGGACAATAACATGGTCGTACAACACTGGCAGTGGTACTCGCTAACTGGTTTCTGGATGGAATTGCTTGGGCATAGCGGGTGAAATGGTCAGTGATAACCAGCATATTCTCGTAGCCACCCTTTGACCTTTCCAAAGTCAAATAGTCAATGCAAAGTAGGTCAATCTGACGGGAACTTTGAATATTAACCAATTCTGAACTTGGGACAGTAGGAGTTTTTCTACGAACACACATACCACAGTTCTCAACACAACTATTCACTTCGGCATCAAGGCATGGCCAAAAAAAACTACGCCTGGCCAACCAGCTTGTACGGCCACGTTCCTGATGACCTACATCTTCATGCACTCCCCTGGGGACTTTCTCTCGATATGCCTTGGAAATAATTAGCTGCTGCACAGGATTACCGACTACTGGGATGTCTCTATACAAAACACCCTTGTGTAGCCTCAGCAGCCGCCATTCCCGCATAAACCGACACACCTCCTCAGGTTCGTGTTGCATTATTTTTTTTATCATGTCGAGCCCCTCCCTGACAAACTCGATCACCCTCCTAAGATGTTTATCTAAGGATTGTTTTATTCCGATTCACACCAGAGAGTTTTACATTCCCTAATTCTAGGGTGTTGTTCTCCGGTTCTAGGGATGTTGTATTTGAGAGTACCACAGTTTCTGATAAAGGTAACTCCTCCCTAGTGGACAAACAAGCACATGTAACTGCTCTCACTACATCTGGGAAAACTTCCTCTCGTCGATACGGTAGTCTTGACAACCCGCGCCGTCAGCATCCCCATTGAGACCACCCGCTCTATAAACTCATTTAAAGTTATAGTTTGAGAGTGCGGCTAGCCACCTATAAAAGTCGTCACATAGGTTAGAGGGTTGCTATATGTGCGTACCTCAACAGTATTGCCATAAAGGTAACCATGGAACTTGTCAGTGAGTACCCATTTGAGACAAAGAAATTTCAACTTATGAGCTGGGTAGTTCTTTTCACTGGGACGTAAACCTCTACTGTCATATGCGATAACCCTTTCATGGTCACCTTGATTCTTGTACAGCACAGCTCCTAACCCTTCCACAGAGGCATTTTTATTAACCATGAAAGGCTTATAAGTGAAGTCTGCATATGCTAACACTGGTGGAGAAGCTAGAAGACTAGCAATGGTGTCAAAAGCCTTCTGCTGATTGTCCTCCCATACCCAAAGAATCCTTGTCTTTGACCCCTTCACAGTTTTGTGGGTACAGTGTCCGACAAGAATATCATTTAAAGGTTTTATGTTCGGGCCATGCCTTCAACACTTCAAGTTTATCTGGGTCCTTCAGGAGGTTCATCAAGGATTATGCGTAAATCATAAAACCTTTAAATGATCTTCTTGTTTAAGGGTCACGCCACAAACACATAATGTGTGAGTGACACGTATCAGTTTATGCACTTAATGTTTGGAATATTCAAGCAAGATTTAATTTATCAAATCAATGGCAGTGTACATAATTTAACATTTATGACTGTTGACACCGTAAAGACGTTGTTATACATAAACTCATGTATACATAATATCACATCTGTAGACGCTCATATTTGTATACGCAATATACAATGTATACTTCATTTTTTCTTCTAAAATTTGTCTTCACTTTTCTGAAATGATATATCGATATTCAATACAAACTATTAGTAATAACAATAATAATAATTAGTCGAGGTTATTAAATACCGGTTTATCACAACCTACACTGTAGTTCGTAGTTCGTCTCAAAGCGGTTCACAAATTATTATCCGTGGTTATAAACGTTATATAACGCTCATTTTCAAAGCTGAATTTTCCTGAAATATCTAGATTTTCATTTGTTTCCCGATCTAGACAAGCCGTTGATCACGTGGGTGACCAGTTATCCGCCTATTTCAATTTCGAGTCTATTTATAATATAAGAAGTCAAAATTGAAGAACTATAAATTGGTAAATTGGTAATCAAGGAATGACACTTATCAAACCCAAATTTAAACTTTAATTGATAATGTGCATACAGTTTAACATTTAAAGAAGTAGATATGTATTCTACATCGGGTTCTATGTGTTTCTATGGGGATTATAACATCCTTACAACAGCTGAAGTCAATAGATAAACATGTTCATCACAATTCCGTACATCATTCACCGTTTTCCTATACCATTATTACAAACTCACACTGTAATCAGTGTCATTTCCGTGTTTGACACGCACAGTAAAATTGTAATACAAGTTTACATGGATTCGTCGATAACAACTATCAACAATGTAAAAGTTCGTTCAAGCCGTCACATGATAGACTAGGAACATCCAACGTGTAATAATAAACAGAGGTAAGGTGATTGGGGGGAAATTCACCACCAATTTAAATTGTGTTTACTGTTTTACGGGTAAGTATCGTTATTATGTGTACTAGAGTACCCATATTCCTTTTTAATTCGAGACAGATACAGTACCTGTGACGCAGTAAGATGCTACCAATGTTTTTGTTCTGGCCTCTCACTTACAGTTGTCTGAAGTGATAAACATCGCCTGATGTTCGGGTTCATCGATTCCCTGTCAAACGTTAGATAGCTCCTCAACATACCAGTGTTGTTGAGTTATAAGGTTTGATCCGTAAAGCACACAGGGACATACGAATTATCAAGTAAATATCAGTGTGTTTGTTTGGACCTCTCATGATGCGATTGATTATTACTGGATGTTTAAGGAGTTCAGATCTGCACGCACTAAATCCAAAACCTTTAATTACCCATCTAACAATACTCCATACACGTCGGGGTGAGGTCTCAAAATACATGCTCACTGTGACTGATGTTCAGGCCCCTGGATGCCTATCAGATACATTATGGATTTTTCGTCCTGTCATGTCCTCTCTGGAGTCCCCCGAGGCTCAGTCATGGGGCCCTGCCTTTTTCTAATCTACATTAATGATCTACCAGACTCTATCACAAGCCAAGTTAGACTTTTTGCAGACGACACTATTGTCTATGCACAGGTATGGGTCACAACACACATAAACATACATTTTATGTGTGTTGTGACCCATATCAGTATAGCATATGTGTGTATTTCAGACATTTGTAACGTGCCCCTGTGGTCTATGTAACTGTTTCATCCGACTCTGATGCAGAAACACTACAAAAAGACTTAAATCTTCTGGAAAAGTGGGAACAAAATTGGTTAACGTCATTCAACCCTGATAAATGTGAAATTCTACACATCTCAAAGAAAAGACTGACACACAAATTTAACTATATTCTCCATGGACAAATTCGAAAGCAAACAGATTCGGCTAAATACCTGGTCTAAACCATCACTAAAAACGTTTCATGGAACACCCACATCAATAACATTACCAACAAGGCAAATTCATCCCTAAGATTCATTCAGAGAAATATTAAAACCACCAATGTAAGAACAAAAGAGTTAGCTTATAAAACTTATGTCAGCCCACACATTGAATACTGTAGCCCCATCTGGGATCCATGGCAGGCAAGCCTTACCCATAAAGTTGAAATGGTGCAGAGAAGAGCCGCCAGGTACACCCTTCGGTGCTATAACTACACCAGTAGTGTTACAGAAATGCTCCAAACACTGAACTGGCAATCCCTTGAACAATGCCGTAAAATGACCTCCACCATATCACTATATAAAATCATAAACGGCCTTGTGGCATATGATGGCAACCTCCAAATTCTCCAGCGAACCCGATAACACAAATTCCAGATTCCACTCAGCTCCACAAATTATCATGCAAATTCATTCTTTTTTTAGAGCAATTTGTACCTGGAACAGCCTCTTAACCTTCATCGCCGACAGTGCAGACCTCTCAACACTGAAGGCAAATCCTCTCTCACAAATTCTAAGCTGCATGTTGTTTTATCATATAGTTCTAGAAAATAAAAAATAAAAATACTTATTTTTTAACCGATCTCTCTGACGCCTCTAAATAATGTTCAGTATATTGAACGTTTTAGAGTATCCTGTTGAAGTTGAAGTACATGGATGTACATTTAAGACAAGTGTGTTGTTTCAGAAAAAAAAATAGTATAACTAAAAAATCCTACAAATGTAGGTCCCCCACTTTTCCTCAAAAATAAAAATTCCCAACTACATAGTACATATATATATGTGTACACTCTGGTCGACAGAAAACTGATAAATATAAGCACAGTTCATGTATGTAGATCCACTTTGTATTCTTGCCAAGTACCAATTATCACTGAGGCATGTGTACATGTATTGTAGTGGCATGCACCTAACTTGTTTCTATTTTTTTCAAACACATACAAAATGTTACCTTGATCTTCGCCTTAGTATTCTGAGGCATGGATCTATCTGAAGTATATTCTAATACTTGACCAGTGGATTTTGCATTTTTCATTAATAAGGCTTCAAAATGTTTGATCAGATGAAAATCATGACTGTCACAAATCAGAAATATCTTGTTCTATTTTCCCCGCATAACTAGAGGCAAACTGATGTCTTAAGTAAGAAATAAAGATATCAAACACAGCAGTTTTACAGTCCCGTCAAGTAGCATTATTCTGTTGACATGACTATCAATCCAACAAATAAGACAAAGGAAGAGAAATGACGAAACTTATATAAATTAGACAATTAAGATCTTATAATGGAGGGTACAAAGATTCCTCCAAGATCTTTTGTAATCAAATTCCATGCAAGGTCAGCTTTGAGAATACTTGGAACAAGCGGCGTTTCAGAGTGTGAAGGTCAAGGACACTGTCAATTATTTTTAAGAAAATCTTTTTGGCTCTAGCGACTTAACTTTCCTGAAGATATTTTAAATATGTATATATTGATTTAGCAATATGCAAATTAAATGAAATTCACTGTTAGGGAATGAAGTTGATGGAAAGATTGGTAACTAAGTTTTGTTGACAATATGCAAACTGATGCTTTCTAACAAACTGTTGTGCAAACTGACGGAATTTTGCAATATGTTAAGTATATAGGGAAGTCTTCACTTCATCACTATAGACTTATACAAATAGACTGTCTTTTGTATTACATGCATCTCAGTTTCCTATAATAATGATAATATCTATGTCTAGATGGAGTAGAGGAGGGGATGAAGCTTTCTCTATGGTGAGCCGCAGCTAGGGAGCTCAAGATGAGCACAAACAGCACAACTCCAGCACCTGAATCTGATGGTAAGGACTTTCTTTTCTATCACCTTATTGATATATATCTCCAACAGGGAAATTGATTTCTGTTATTTTTTATGCATCAGTGTAAGTAAATGAAAATAAAATTTCATTCCACTAATGGTCCCAAGTCAGAACAGTTTAATGATAAGGTCTAGGAAATGAAGGGATCTTTTTCAGAAAAGAAGGGAAAAAAATCAATCTTACATAGGAGCAAGGAAGACGGTACGATGGTGGATGCCAGGATCCTTCTGGATCTCTTGCTGATTTTTTTTATGATATGTTCATGTGAATATGATGGTTTCGACATATCCATGTGTTTATATTGTTTACAACATCTCCGTGTGTTTATAATGTTTATAACTTCTCAATGTGTTTATAATGTTTACAAGTTCTCAATGTGTTTATAATGGTTTACAACATCTCCATGTGTTAATATTGTTTACAACATCTCCTTGTGTTTATAATTGTTTACAACATCTCCATGTGTTTATATTGTTTACAACATCTCCATGTGTTAATATTGTTTACAACATCTCCATGTGTTTATAATGTTTACAACATCTCCATGTGTTAATATTGTTTACAACATCTCCTTGTGTTTATAATTGTTTACAACATCTCCATGTGTTTATATTGTTTACAACATCTCCATGTGTTAATATTGTTTACATTATATCCATGTGTTTATATTGTTTACAACATCTCAGTGTGTTTATAATGTTTATAACTTCTCAATGTGTTTATAATGTTTACAAGTTATCAATGTGTTTATAATGGTTTACAACATCTCCATGTGTTAATATTGTTTACAACATCTCCTTGTGTTTATAATTGATTACAACATCTCCATGTGTTTATATTGTTTACAACCTCTCCATGTGTTTATATTGTTTACAACATCTCCGTGTGTTTATATTGTTTACAACATCTCCATGTGTTAATATTGTTTACATTATATCCATGTGTTTATATTGTTTACAACATCTCCGTGTGTTTATAATGTTTATAACTTCTCAATGTGTTTATAATGTTTACAAGTTATCAATGTGTTTATAATGGTTTACAACATCTCCATGTGTTAATATTGTTTACAACATCTCCGTGTGTTTATAATGTTTATAACTTCTCAATGGGTTTATAATGTTTACAAGTTCTCAATGTGTTTATAATGGTTTACAACATCTCCATGTGTGAATATTGTTTACAACATCTCCTTGTGTTTATAATTGTTTACAACATCTCCATGTGTTTATATTGTTTCAAACATCTCCATGTGTTTATATTGTTTACAACATCTCCGTGTGTTTATAATGTTTATAACTTCTCAATGTGTTTATAATGTTTACAACATCTCCATGTGTTAATATTGTTTATAACATCTCCTTGTGTTTATAATTGTTTACAACATCTCCATGTGTTTATATTGTTTCAAACATCTCCATGTGTTTATATTGTTTACAACATCTCCATGTGTTTATAATGTTGACAACATCTCCATGTGTTTATATTGTTCACAACATCTCCATGTGTTTATAATGTTAACAACTTCTCAATGTCTTTATATTGTTTACAACATCTCTATGTGTTTATATTGTCTACAATATCTCCCTGTGTTTATATTGTTTACAACATCTGCATGTGTTTATATTGTTTGCAACATCTACATGTGTTAATATTGTTTACAACCTCTCCATGTGTTTATATTGTTTACAACATCTCCGTGTGTTAATATTGTTTACAACATCTCCATGTGTTTATGTTGTTAACAATATTTTCATGTGTTTACTTTGTTAATATTACTGTGTTTACTTTGATTTCAGGTGTGGTGCTGAGTGGAGGTGTGATATTTATCATAATATTTGGTGCAACTTGTGTGTTCTTCTTCTCGATCATGACTGTAGTTTGTGTTGGAGAATTCAAGGAATATAGATCAAGACGAAAAAGACCTTCCAGGCCTGTTGAGGTCAGTGAGAAACCAGCATATTTATTGAAAAACGCTAACTCATCTTTTTTTAAATTGAGTGAGCTAAAATTCAGAGTAAAGAGTTGTATGTATTCTTACTATTCCAACATTGTTATGATATCAAAGAGAAAGTAGTGATTTTAAATTTATCTATCTGTAAACAAGGAAGAGCTCTTTAAAGTCCTTATTTTGAACTAACTCAACTTTGAAACTACTCTGGAATTTCTATTTTACTATGTTATTGAAGAACCTTTTGTGAATTCTCTCTGCATATCCATCATATTTTCACTTTCTTTTTTCTCAATACAAGCCCCTTGCACACAAAGGGTACAGAGCTCTTGTTAGGAGAGAGCGGCAGGACCATACTGACTACAGTATTCTTTTTGTAAAGGGGGAGGAGTTTTGAGCTTATCTGTCATAGAACATTCCTTGGACAGGGTAATTAGGGTTATATAAATAGGAGTTAATCTTAAAAGTCATCGTCAGTCTAACTGAATTCAGATGCTCTAATATCCTATCTTAGGTAATGAAATGAGACATCTGTATTTTTACCTGATATTGTTTTTTTTGCAGAATGGTAACTATCCTAGACAACCACCTCCCCTTACAGTGCCTCCTGTGACTAATCCAACGATTCCTGGTGCCAAATATCCAAGGCAACCAGATTCAGGGATAGATAACCAAGGGCACAATAATTCTGCCGTAAAACCTGAAGAAGAAATCATAGCATCTGATCAATCAAATGCTGTGAACAAGTCTGTGATAGTTAGTGAGGAGGGAGTGGAGGGATCCAGCCCCAATGGAGACATTGTTGTGCTTCACCAAACACCAAGGAAAAAGAACACCCAACTGAAGCCACTAGAGCTGGCTAAACCAGGGACAGACAACTCTAACCCAGAGACAATATTTTCTCCAAGAACAACAACAATGGACGGTGTGACCGCAGTTGCCTTTATTCAACCTACCCCCCCCCTACCATCCATATCTTCAAACATCAGCCAATCAGATGTCACCCCTGTTGTCAGTTCCTAGAAATGTTTGTAAGAGTATGATATGGGGACCAAGGTTGTTTGGGTGTTTGTTTTATTTAAACAATGCAGTGTTTGTCTTTCTGTAATGTGATATCTTATATTAACCAGTAGATCAAGTTTTTGATCTTATGTTTGCATAAGGTCCTATTTTTTTCATTTAATCAGTTTTGAATTAAAAATAATAGATTTATTTGTAATTTTCAGAATGTTTGCTACACAAAATTAATTTTGATATGAGAAAGAGTTTTAAATTAGTTTAAATAACTTTATAAGTTGTGTTGATTACTTAGTTTGTTATCCTCTTCAGGTAACCGTTGGGACATTAGTGTCGGTGTACTTTTGTTAGTGTTGAGGTCATCGGAGGGACACTGGTGTCCTTGTACCATTGTAATGCAATTAGGGGACAATGCTGTTCCTTGACCGTTATAGACATTGAGGTCATGAGAGGGACACATGTATCCGTTTACTTCTGTAGATGTTAGTGCCATACTGTGTCTTGTATTAATTGTATTATAATGACTCCTTGATGCATTTAGAACATTCCAGGTGTGACCATTTGTTGTGAACAAGATGTGTAATTGACAGTAACTGTTGTGAATCACCCATATTTCTTTAGGAATTTATCTTTGACATTGTAAACAATGTTTACATATATGTAGATGTATATCAATAACTTCATTCAATTTTCGACCAAGATCACTCTGAAATAAATCATCGAAAACATATTTTGCTTTTATTTTTATAATAGTTTTCTGGAAAAAAACAACTAATCCATATCTAATGTTGAAATATTTTTTGTTTTATCCTTTAACCATGATCCACAATAATGAAATGATATTTAATTTAAGATTTGTGTAACATCATTTACAAAAACCATTTGTAGTATGTATCCCACTGTAAAAATCACATTCTTTTTACTGTATCAATATATAGATCTCAGTTTATTATTGTTCATATGTTTACTAGTAACGCTGTCCCTGTGTAATAAGTAGCTATCAGTGTAACCACTAATAAGTTTTATAACATACCATCATCCATCTCTATTAATACACAAGTGAGATGCGGGAAGAATGCCATTAAAACAACAACATATATACATGTAGGTCCATAAAAGGATGCCACATCTATACATTACTGTTCCTTTAAACACCTACATTTGTATGGCTCGTTGGTTTGGTTCTGTATCAAATATCAAATAGAACAGCGTACCTTTACACTAAACCCTTACCTTTAACCCTAACCCAAAGTCTGTAACCAATTATTCAAATTTGTTATGGTAATTTACAGCTACATAAACATATCTGTAGTTGTTCGTTCAGATTTTTTTAACAAAACTCAATTCAATGTCAGCATTGTGAGACTGTATAGATGTTATACAAACTATACATGTAGAAAAACATACCAGGAACATAATTCATGTACCAAAGTGTGAACATAACAGGAACATAATTCATGTACCAAAGTGTGAACATAACAACAATTCTAACTCAAAATCAATCAAACAAGGGCAAAACATGAACAAAGGACAGATTTTCATGGAGACCTTTAAAAAATTACAAGAATGAGACCAACGAAACAATAGGGCATTGCTTAAACCTTTAACCTTCACATCATACAAGGAAATGAAATATTTCCAAATGAGATCATGATGGCAATTAAAAAACTTGCCAACAGTCGGCATCAACATTCATCAGTTGAAATCCATTGTGAAATTTTTGTCTGTCAGCATAACATATATCACAGATTTCTTTTTTGATATTTTTGATGTAAAATTTATTTCTTTTACAACAATTATGAAACAAGTTATTTCAGCTTACATTAATCATTCTTGTTGTCCTTTATGTTTGCGCGTGGGGGTTCTTAATGTGGGAGGAAGAAAACCCACGTGTTTGGGAAAGTGACCCCATACCTTTTCAAGTCCGATCTGGGAATCCAACCTCGGTCGCCTTGGTGGAAACAAGTGCGCTATCCACTGCGCCGTCTGAACACCATAGGTTGGGAAAGCAGGTGTGTTAGAATCAAGTGAATTAAAGAAATAAATTTAAGTAAACAATTGGAAATTGAAATATGTAATAATATTACATTTTTGAAATATTTAAGTATGGTTTGTTTCTGTTTCTATATTGGATCATTTTCCTTTAAAATGTACCTCCTTGTATGTACCTATGCTATCCTTGTATACTACCTCTCCTATGTGTACACACATGCATTTTATTCTAGCATATCATCTAGGTTGTAGCACTGCCTTCCTCCTATAAAGTATACCAACCTCTGATAGCTATCAGATTTTAGTAATGTATTGTCATATCATCTCTTTATAAATAACATGCAGATACGCAAGTTTCCATAAACTTCTATCACATATCATTAATGTTGAAATGTTGCCAATATGTTGCTTTTACCACGGAAGAGATTTTTATTGCTTTTAGATTGACTAACAAGTTTAACTCTAAATCATAAAATCCTGCAAAACCAGTTTGTCCAGTACCTAGAGTCTCCTCCAACCAGTCTGTCCAGTACCTATAGTCTCCTCCAACCAGTGTGTCCAGTACCTATAGTCTCCTCCAACCAGTGTGTCCAGTACCTATACTCTCCTCCAACCAGTTCGTCCAGTACCTATAGTCTCCTCCAGCCAGTCTGTCCAGTACCCATAGTCTCCTCCAACCAGTGTGTCCAGTACCTATAGTCTCCTCCAACCAGTGTGTCCAGTACCTATAGTCTCCTCCAACCAGTTTGTCCAGTACCTATA